CAGCCTGGCACAATTGTAAACCTAAGTTGTCTAAATGCTCCGCTCCTTATTCTGAAATTGTCTTGGCTGTAGACTCTTGGAGACAACTTGGCCAGGGTAGATACTTTATTGCAGACAAGAATCAAATACTGCCACAGTACTGTTGCAGTATTGCAATAGAAGATATGACTACAGTACTGCTGTACACACAATCATAGCTCTATGTTCCAAAATAAATTCTAGCCTTTTTCTTCCTGCTTTTCTATTTGGTTGTTCTCCTCAAGGTCCCAGAAGATAGCTGGGTTCTGCTGACTTCATGGTGCTCTCAAGCCTGGCTACTGAGCTTCCTGCCTCAACAGACAATTCTTAGGAACAGCTTTAATCACCAAAATAAGAAGAGACAGGGAACAGGCAGCCATGTGTAAACACCAACCAACCCACATTGTCCCACTTTAGTGATTGCCAAAATTATAAGGAATAAGAAGATAAGAAACCAGCAGTGCACAACATACTCTGATGGAAAAGGCAACTGGTTCAGAGGCAGCACAGCACCTTGCTTCCAAGAAAGTAGTCCTATTAGCATTGTCCTTGAAATCTGCAGTAAAATTGCTATTGCTAAATTTCAATAAATCAATGTCCTTTTGCTAGAAAGGAACTCTCAGTGCCCATTTCTACCTCCCTGGCAACATATCAAATGGAAGTGTTAACCAGACTAAGGGATAATTCTGGCGTTACTTGGATTCACATTTTTAAACAACCATCCAAAAACATATAAATTATCCATTTTACCTGTCATTCTGTCCTATCTCAGAGTTGTGGTAACGCTAAAATATTATTTTAAGAAATTTGGTGGAAGGATAGGATATCTCTCTCTTCTCTCTCTCTCTCTCTCTCATGGAAGCTTCTCTGCATCTGCCTTACCTAAATGTGCATTAACTGATTTTCATACTTCATAAATTGTCCTTGGCTGCTATACACACTCAGAATTTCTCCTCAGACAAGAAACAGTTCCAGAACCTCCCAATGCATAATTTTCAGTTAATGGAATTGGCAGCAAAAGTGCTAAAATCATGGTTTCAATACACTGTATAATAATTGCTGCTCTATTGACCCTTGACAATGTAGAATTGTGCCCAGCTGTCTCAAGTTTGTTTACACAAAATGCTTTGTACAAAGAGGCTTTGACAAGATCCAACTACTATATCATTCCTTTTACAGCTGGAGGGTTTCAGAACAGTCAGAGCCTTTAGAGTTTGGTTTATTTGTCCAGTGTTTGAAGGAACAAGCAGAGATATATATTGTATCTCATCTGATAATATAAGAACATCTGTGCTTATTTTCCTAATAACCTGAACCTAAACATGATGTGGATATACTGTAACTAGCAATACACAGAAGACGTCTAGGTAACATGGCAAGGCAAATAAGCTTAAAATCACACCATTTGTGTTTTTTAAAATGCTTTTAAATATATTAATCTATTTTAAAATATTTTAAGTGAAATTTGGGGTGCTTGTGCATGTGTATTTTTGCCGACTAGACCTATTTTAAAGGCTATAGGTTGGCTCGAAATTATTTATTTATTTATTTATTTATTAAATTAATTTATGTAGCTGCCCATCTTACCACAGGCGACTCTGGGCGGCATACCACAAAGCTAAAAACAGTCAATAAATACATTAAAAATATAAAAAGCTCTATATGATAACTGCGGCGAGACTTTTATATGCATAAAAATGGAAGGATTTACAAATACCTAGAGCTGAAGAATGGATATTGAAATTAATGGAACTGGCGGAGATGGCAAAACTGACTGCTTTGCTTAAAGAGAGGACATTATCTAGCTTTGTTTCTAATTGGAAACCACTCTTGGACTTTTTGCTTGACATTCAAAAAAATGCAATTTTGACTTTGGGATACAATGATTGATGTTATACCTATAGAAATATTTTGTACAAATCATATATATTGTTGAAATAGATTGATTCTATGAATTTCTTTGAATGTTTATTCAAAAGAGAATAAAAATTATTTTCTACTATATACATTTTTAGATACTAGAGTAAGAGGTGAATATATTTTACATTTATACCTGTACCAAGGAAAG